TCCACATGCTATCCAATAAATTCCAGTACACACACCAAGGGTGATTTTTGTGGGTGTAGTTTCATAGCATCCTTCAACATTGGTTCTTATTTATTTTATTATTTTTTGGGGGGGAGGAAAATCTGTATTTGGGTCAGTGACATGTCCTATTAATAAGCTAGATATGGAGATGGGCTCCAAAACTGTCATTCCAGCATTGCAGCAGAGAAATTGTCTGAACCCACGACCTTTATGCAAGATGGTGCACTCCAACATATCTGCTTACATGTGCAAGCCTTACTGCAACAACATTTTCCACATGAGAGTTAGAAATGATCAATAATCACACATGAGAGTGTGATTATTGATCATTTCTAACTTTATGGCTACCACAATTACCAGATCTTTTGGTTATGGTCTATGTAAAGAGTCTTCTATATCAGCAATGTTCTTGGCAACCTAACTGTCTTAAAAGGTGATTTTCACATGTGTGACAACTGCATGTAGGTCAGTTGCATTGTTGAACCATGTAGTACAATGAATACAGATTTTAGAGAATGAAGATGGAGGACGCACAGAACCATTTCTTTGATGTAATTGTGAATTCCAAAATTTCACATCTGTAATTAAAGCATTAAAATTATTGTACTTTCCTTCTTAACTCCAAAAATTTCTTAGAATACATATGTAATATGCACATTGAGGATAACAGCATCAAATTTCACCCTAATAGCTGAATTATGAAGTAGAATTTTTTCTCCTGAAAATTGAAACCATATATTAAGCACAGTATCTGTAGTAGCATATGGTGTAATAATATATTTTGGCTCAAAATTCTATAGTGAGCTCTGAACACCTGCACTTTAATTATGATAAAAACTAGATATATAAAAACTATACCCATATATAAAAATTATACCCATATATAAAAACTAGAGGATAATTAACAATGATGTCTTACCATGATTAAGTATACTTTTAATGTATAATCCTGTAGGGATAACAGTTATCCTTTATAAAAAGAATAGATAATTATGTCTTTTTTTGGTTAGATATCCTTATTATTTTTAATTTATAATGTAAAATATTACATTTTAAAATATTGAGAGATATTTTAAGTATTGTTAAGACATATTTTTATAAACTGAAAGTATTTGTTTTGTAAAGAATCTTGCATTTTAAAAATTTTAATAAAGTTTTGTTGAGTAAGAAAAACAAAGTTTTCTACTAGGAACAATGGAAAGAGCTAAATAAAATTTTAATATGATTTTATATTAAAAATTGGAAGATAGTTTTTTTCATGAATTTTTCTGAATATTCTATCATTTTTTTTGTTCACGTAATTTCATGTAAAATTCATAAAAAAACTATCATTAAAATATTATAAAAAATTACAATATTTACTGTTAATTATAACTAAAATACTTGTGAATTTAAATAAAAGTCTAATGAGTACTTATCAAATTATTTTTTTAATAAATGAAGATGTATATAAAATAATATCAAACAATTTTGATTTTAATGCAGTTTTCTTTAGAAATCGAAATAATGTTATATTAATTAAATTATCTGCCTCACGGTTGTTGATAATTTAATTAATATAATTATACCAAAGGGCTAGAAGCAACTTTTGTAATAATTTCACAAAATAATGTGTTGTAAAATATTAATCAGAAATCAAAATATTATATTACATTTGAACTTACAACATTGTAGCAAGAAGTAAGGTAGTATTTTTACTGTGAAATACAAATCTAGACTTTGAATTTTGTTTATCCTTACAGATGCAAAGATACAAAAAGTATTTAAAACATGAATTTTCGTAATAAATAAGAAATGTCATATTGCATAATAATTTATGCAATGTGACATTTCTTACTTACGTCACTTGAACAATTAAGAAAACATATACCGAATTTATGCAGTATTAATGCTAACGTTGATTTTGTCATTAAATTACGATGTTTGACGAGTACCTGTCTATAACCTAGTCTGGCATCGATGAATTTTTTCATCATTTAGATTAATAGAATGTAACTATTTTAATTAACATAAAGTCATTAAATGATTAAATTTATTATTAAAACAACAAAGTGTAATAACAATTTTTATCATTCAAAATGCCAAGTAACAGTTTTAAGTGAAATATTTTAAGATTTCTAAAAGTTTGTAAATTTATTTTTGAAAATTTTATGCTTAGAAAATATAAAATTAAAAAAAAAAGTTTTTTAAGCACAGTTTTAAATTATTTCCAAAAATTTTACTTATATTGATATTTTCTATTTTACATTTCAAATCAGGCATATTTTTATAAATAATTTTTTTTAATCTGTAGCCTTCATTCACAAGGAATTTAATACATTATAAAGTTTAGAAGGTAACAAGTAAGTTTAAGAAGTGGAATAATAATTGGGAATTTTACTTAATATATATTTAATTAAGTAGTATTAAATTTAGATATATAGCTTTAAAAAAAAAAAAAAAAAACAATTATATAATTTTGATTTTGTAGTTTTTGAATGAGTAGGATAATACTAGTAATTTTTATTTTTTCGTTTGTAGTTTTGGGATAATCTGTTTTACTAATCTTTTTTATTACAGCATTAATTAATATAAATCTGAATAAATAATAATTTTTATTATAGAGTCATTTCTATTCTTAAAAATATTTTTCTTCTTACTGCAAGAAGTTTTAAATTTATAAATATTATTTTGGTTATTTGACATTGTTTCAATTACTATATTTAATTTAAATTAATTTATAGATTAATATTAATTTGAAAATCTATGCTGAAAAGATTTATTTATTGAATTATGTAATAAAATTTATTAAATATTTATTTTACTGGAACTATTAACTATGTAAGTTTGAAGATTTAACATTTTTTAAAATTAAGTTTGTAATATTTTACTCTAATTAGATTCTTATTTTTTAAAATATTTTATAATACTAGAAAGTTAGCAATGTATCAATATCTATAAAATTTCAGATTATTTCATATATATATTAATATATAATTACATGGCTCATTTAACTTATATTCTCAACTCATGATACACTTCTTCAGTATAAAATGTTTTATAAGTGCATTGAACAAAATGATATTGAACAGAAATACTTGAAAATATTCAAATATATTTTTATTAAAGCTAGATAATGTAAAAAATATTCATTTGTCATCGAAGCAGCAACATTACCATAAAATTTAAACAAAAACTGATACGTATAATAGACACTGCAAATCTTTATGAATATTTAAATTATGCACACTATTAATGTATATATGACACATTTTTTAAACATTATGAAAGAAAACTTTACTGAAACACAAGTGCTGTATTAAATAAGAAAAAAGTCACAGATAAGTAAGAAAAAATTTGATGAAGCGCAAGAATGGTGTTAGATAAATGAAATTGAAGACCAGATATGGAAAGCTTGGGTAGGAGGCCTCGATTAACTATGTGTGAACTTTTGATACAAACCTAAAGTCACGTTATTTCAATTGAAAAATTTTCCCCTGAAAGCAGTTATATGATCAGCACGACTCCATTGCTAACAGAAAAGTATGACGTACACGGGCAATACACCACTAATTTGATGCGGAGAGCATATATTTTGCAGCCCAGCATTGTGATATCATAATAAATAATTGCCCATGACCATAAAATTAGTGCCAATTGTTTTCTACTGTTCTGAAAATATCTTATTGGATTTAAGAGAAAGTTTTAAAAGTAATGTATATTTTGGTTCAATAATAATTGGTTTAGTAAGTCTGTATTATCTCTACAAAGTTCAAGAGATGAGAAATTATATAGAAAATAATTCTTGTTTATAAGTTTGCCATTTAATGGCAGTCCCATTTATACCTGCTTATTTATGTTTAGCATATACAATGTCAGAACAAATGATGTATTGCAGAATGTTATTTCCAAATAGTTAAGATGATGATTGAAATCCTGTTTGTGACTGTAGTAAAAATAAAATTGTAAATAATCATTGAGAGATGAAATGCCATACTTGAAAACAGACATTTTATCAGTTAAGATGGCAATTTGTTTTCTCAGAAGATAAAAATTTATTTCTTGACAGTTTTCGTTTTTACTTTTGAAACAAGAATTGTTCTATGTATAACTGTTTTTGTTTTGTACTTATAACTTGAATCTTTCTCCTGTTTTCATGGTTAAAATATTAATAATTGACTCATAAATTAGTCAGTCTTCTGTCATTTTTGGATTCAGTGTTATCGAATTCATATATAGACATAAGATCAATAGAAATTCGAACTAAACTAAAAACTAGACTTTAAACAAATTCCAAAAATCTTTTTGAATCATTTTTTTTAATTTTTAATCAAATACAGTAAAAAGATGTCTTAATATTACAGACACCAATATAACATACCTCACATTATTACAACAGCTGATGTCAGTTGGATAATAATAGCTTAATTTTATCATCTATTATTACATGTTACTATTGTTATATAGGTTGGGCCTTTCAGGTATGAGTGTCATTGTGAATCAGACCTAATATCATCCTCATAAAACGGCAAGCAAAATGTATAATAAAGAATCTATTTTCAGACCTGATATAATAATAATAATAATAATAAATGATAAAGCTCTTACAGCCAAGAAATTAAAAAAATACAAAAAAAATGTAAATGTCGTAAACCAATCATTGGTGATATACTGTATAAGTATACAGTATATTTTAAAAAAATAACATCGCTAACTGAAGAGGGGTTATATTGGCATAAACCAAAAATGAATTTTAGCCAAATGTATGATTTTAGTCCTAGATTGTATATTCCCATTGTGTACAATGGAGGAATTGTGAAAGCATATACTAAATTAAAAAAACTGTTTGTCTTTTAGAATAATATATCATTTGACTTTATTGTTATCAGGTTGATTTTAAGACTTGCTAGATTTATTTCTGTAAAATTTAGTCTTTCCTGTAATGGTTTTAGACTAGTTAACTATAAAAACATTTTCTCTGAAAGTTGCAAATCTTTCAGTAAACAGCTATATCAGACTGGGGGATCAACATCAGGATTATGGATGACAGTAAGTTTACTGTTTCGACCGGGAATGTGTGTGTTTGTGGAAGATCCCACTTACTACTTGGCACTCGAGCTATTTCAGGATTTCAGTATGAATATTATTCCAGGTAAATAATTTAATTTAAAATTTTCCAACAGTTAGAATGACTGATGACAAAGTTCATTTATTTTGCCTCTAGTTCAAACTGATAAAGATGGAATTGTGATTGAAGATTTGAGAGAGAAATTAGAAATGTATCTGTCAAAGTCAAATGGTTATCAATCTTCGAGTAATATCCAATCAGATATTTCAGATTCTGAATGGAAAACTCTACGTACAGAAGAACATTCCACTGGTCAAAAAGAATCGGATAATCGGACTAAATGTGTTTTGGAATCTAATGGTGATAGAGATGATGTGTTACTAACTCGCATTCCACAAACAGATGCACTTCGGTTATGCAGTCCTCTAAGTCAGTCGCCACCCCTTTTAGGATCGTGTTTATCTCAATCTACCATTCCTACCTCACAGCTTTCTGGTGGAAGTCCCTACAAATCGGATAAGACAAGAAAAATTAACTGGAGTAAGAAGAATTTACCACTCTCGGCATTAATATATCTTATACCAAGTTACCATAATCCCACTGGAAGCACCTTGCATCCAGGTAAGATTTTTTTCTCCCCAGTTTTCTTTAATGTTTGAAAAATTTTATGTAATAATTTGTTTATGAAATTTATTGCAGAAAGATGTGAGCAGATAATAAAACTAGCCAGAGAATTCTCTGTCCTGGTCTTTGCCGACGAAGTATATCATCTCTTACATTATGATGATAAAGACGTTGCACCTAAAAGATTATTTTCTTACGATAATATGTAAGCTTTCTTCTGTATCCAAAGTGCCGTTTCTTGATAGAATTTATAAAATCCGTTCATTAAAGGGACGATCCCGACTATCAAGGCAACGTGATTTCTAGTGGATCGTTTTCAAAGATATTTGGACCGGGACTTAGATTGGGATGGTTGGAAGTGCCAGAATGGTTAGTTTACACCATGCAGAAAAAGTACGTAACCCTGGTCCCACCAAGCTTACATAAAAATTTAGCTTTTGGAATTTCAAGTAAAAAAAGCCAATAATTGAAAATTTTTCTATTGTATTGTATAGTTTATTTTATGTTTTAGAGGAGTGTTTGCTAGCGGAGGTGGAATTAATACCTATACAGCTGGCATCATGTGCAGCGTAATCACTTTGGGCTTATTAAGTGAACACGTTAATTCTGTTAGGAAAATATATCAGGTGTGTTAATTTCAGTAATCTTGTTTGTGATATAGTAGAATGTCAGTCATTCAGTTTTAAATTGTGCGACGTTTATAAAATCAATTAATGTTTTGCAAAAGAATTTTTAAATGACCATTTGTATTTTGTTTTTATTGAATTATTGACACTCTACTATTTATTAAGTATATAATTTTTTTAATAATAATTTTTTCCAAATATAATTAAATGTATTTAAATTCCAAAAGCTAAAATAGAGAATTTTGGTATGTATAAATTGAAAATTTTATAAACTGAAATGGAACTTGTTCTTATAGCATATATTTGCAGAAAATTCAACAGTATTCATATTTCAGTGCTATATAAAGCAAGGATTTGTTCATTTAATTAATATACTCCCACTCTAACAACTTAATAGATTCCTGGATCCATTGCTATCCACTCAATTAAGAACAAAATAAGTATCTTGAGGTGATGTTATAAGGGATAAAGGCAGCTTGAAATGAAGTATTATACTTAGCTGTATCTTAGATAATATCCACAAAAATCCAGATGTCTGCTGAGAAACATTGGTATGCAATTTTTTTCCGTTTTGATGTATGTTCTCTCTCATTTTCATTTTATACACATGGTATTGATAATAATACATTGAAACAAGAATTTTTCAAAATTAAACTAAAAGTATATATATAAATTCCATAATATATGCCTTGTACAGTGTGTGAAGGGACAAAAATGGACTAAGACTCATCTGTATATGTATAGTCAATAAGAAATATATTTTTCTGTAAATATTATTATTGACGGTTTGTTATTATTATTTACCATAGTTTTGTGGATTGACTGGCATGAAGAAATTAAACATATAATCATAGTTTTTGATATAATGCCAACAGTTTTGCAGTTATAGAATAAAAGCTTGTTCCTTTTAATGTAACATAAAAATGAACAAGTTTTCATTTTTTTTTCATACGTCCTCTAGAGAGGGATGTACTGTACAGCCTCACTTAAGCCAGCATGCCAGTTTTTACCATACGAAAGTATCTGATTTTGTAGTCTCCCCGATAGACAGACATGCTGGACAATCTGCGAAAATACAGAAATAATTTTTCAAAATGAGTTTTTAGGTTTTTTCTGTTTTGTTTTCTTGTATGTTCTTCACAATCATTATATTAAATATCTGAGATAACATAAATTATTTTGTATGTCAATGTGAATGTGTGTCATATGTCAAATCAACTGTTATGAGTGTAAAATTAGGTTCACTTTGACATATGAACTAGTATGAGCTAAATATGAACTGCCCTTTTAACTATTCGACCAGTTCATTAGGAGTTGAAAATATCTCACCTTTTTCCAAACTTCTATTCATTTGACCTATCAACTTTTCATAACTAATGTTTAAAATCTTTTCAACCAATCATGTTCTAACTCAGTTTGTGTCACTTGGTATAAAGCAAACAATAATTTGCTTTGATTCATTTCATTTCTTTGTATGACAGTATGAGCTTAGCTTAATACAGAACAGTGCAATTACAAGTATTTATCTGATGAATTTTCTGCAGTCTAGATAGGAATTCATTTTTAATACAAAATATAGTTAACTAGTTTAGAAATTTGTTGAATCATTTGAAATCTGATTATTAAATTACACAGTAAATGCATTTTAAAACATTCGAATGTTTCTTTCTAATATTGTAAGTCATTTTAAAATATAATTTCCTTTTTTCTTTTATCAGCAATTTATTCATTTCTAAATGTTCAGATTTCAGATTGTTCATTTATATTAATGCTATACTTATATTTAAAATCTGATGAATTTTTTATTCTTTCTCATCTGAATTACAGTTAAAAACTAGCAACTTGAGGAGTTGACTTCTGTAGCAGAATTGGGAATTTGAAAACATCCTAAATTCTCAAAATGATTACTATATTCAAATGATTCAGATGTTATGGATATATTTTTTGTATGTTTCTATGATTTCAGGCACGAATGGTCACAGCAAGCACAGTTTTGAAAAATGAGCTTCCTTCTAGTTGTCATCTAGTCTCTCCAGCCAAAGTGAGTAAAAGTTTAAATGTGTGAATAACAAATACACACGGTCCAAAACATATCAACCAAATTTCAAGAATGCAGAATATGTCCAGTTGTCCAAATGAGGTTTGGAGGAAATCATTCCTGGGAAACTTTGCAGTATAAAAAAATATTACCACAATACAGTAGAACGTCGATTATCCGAAAGTCAATCATCCAAAAGAATTCCAGTCGGCAAATTTAAATTTTTGCCAGTGCTGTGGCGATGCAATCTTTGGCTATGTCTTGGACTACTCAAATATTTTAGGTTTTTGATACTAAATTAACTTCTGAAGTATAATTTTTTATTGTTTTTATATTTTTCAATATATTTATTTTGTTCGTACAAAATAAAAAAAATAATTATTAACGATATAATAATCTTCGTTAGGCTTAACATCGACGAAAATTCAACACAAAGCGACACGCAACGGAGAAAAATGTCAAGACGAGATAAATTAATATATTTTTTCGTACATAATCGGTTATCCAAAACATCGATCTTCCGAACAACCCCAGTCCCCAATTGATTCGGATAATCGACGCTCTACTGTAGTTGCAAAAATGTTAAAATATGGTAGTATCTCAGCTAAGCCTGGAGACATTAATTGGAAAAATTTGCCAAAATGCAGAGAAATTGTGTGATTTCTAATCTCTCTTTTAAACAAAGTAAAAGAAAAAAAAAAAGCTTTCCAAGCAGTTTAGTCATTTGTTACATTGTTGCTTGCTTACATGACAATATGCTTTCAGTAAGACTGGGTTGTGCTTGCTTACTGAACTGTGGTTTTGATTTTTATAATAAACCAAAATTGAAACAGTTTTTAAAAGAACAGAAAAAGAAAACACATTTTTATTTCTAAAACTCTTGATACTATTTAATGGATGAAATTTAATGTCGGCTTGAATTAGAATGCGAAAAATTTAAATTATTCACTCATTCCCCACATGGAAAATTTGCAACTCAAACTGTATTTAAAATCTTTTTCAGAATTGTCTCAATTAAAAGTTTTATCACTATTTTATAAGCATTACTTTCCTTTATTTTTCATGTTTTTTTTTTTTTGAAGATATAAATATTAAAATATTAGCTTTGAATTGTAATAAATTTTAAGACATGATAAAAGTATGATTGCATTTTCAAAAAATAACAAATAGCAATGAAAAGGCAATCAAAAAGTAAAAAATTTTTCAGAAAAAAATTGCACATCGTCATTGTAAAGAAATTTTCTCTTTGGATGTCAAAAAGTCTGTTAATTATCATCTCAGCTAAAAGTAAACCATTTGTGGCATGGGTATATCACCCATGCCACAAATGGTTTACTTTAATATTAGTCAACATATTACATTAACTTATATAATTATATATGTTATTCTATGATGATGATACATGCCTATATTAAAGCATTGTTTTAATTAAAAAAGCTTTTACATTAATTTATCAGCTTAGTGTTGCATGGAAAATTATATGGTAGATCTATTTAGTTATTTGTATGACTTAATTTTCAAAACTACATAGTATAACAATTTATGAATGAATTAATAATTATTATTGTGTGTACTAGTATGCAATAATTTACAGGGAAATTGTGTGTATTGAAAATATTCTGCATCCTTGCCAAATTTTAATTTCAATAAAAGCTTTATTATACCTGTGAAGTTTCCACATCTGAATTCTTGATTGTCTTGTGACTATGTATTCAAATTCTTTTCTCTTATGTCTTGTTAGCATTTGGTTTGCATAGGATTTGTCTTAATCATAAAAATCCCAAACAGTTCTTTTTGTAAACTGTCAGATCATCTGCACACTCTGAGGCTACAGACTTTTTTGGCAAAACTAAGTTTTACCTAATCACCCGGATGACTTCAGTCATCCGGGTGAAGTCATCCTAATCACCCGGATGACTTCAGTCATCCGGGTGATTAGGTATTGGGGATTGGGATTACTTCAGATGGCAACTAATCAGCTTCACATGGGATCATGTTGCGTTTGTGAATATCCAGTCGTCGTCATCTCAGTGCAGCATTATTCCTTTCTCACAATAGTAATGGAGGTCATTTCCAGAATCTTGCACAATGTATTCAATGAGTTTTACATCATGGAAAGCTTGATGAAAGAGAATTGTTTGATCTGAGTCCTACTCCAGATCTGAATCCTTAAGATTTCTTTGTTGCAATATCTTGAGGGTAATATGTATCAAACTAACTCAAAGATTTCAGAAGATAGTTTTATATCAAATGTGAAATCTTTCCTATTTCAAGAGAAATTTTTTCACTATGTGTTGATTAATTTTGATCTTTCTCAATTTAAGTTGAGAACAAACACACTGGATATATTGTTGTATAAATAGCTTTGAATGTAATTTGAATGATATTCGTGTGCCTCATTTTTCAGTTGTAATGAAGCATTAAATTTGGTAGGTTCCTTTTTGGACCATGTTGTATGTAAATCTTTCTATCCATCTATGCTGTCTTATGTTTGTTATTGTTCTGTCATATATTTAACTTAACATAAATTCTCCTTTAGGGTGGATACTTTCTATGGATAGAACTACCTGCATCAGTGAATGCAATTCATTTTAAACTATTTGCAGAGAAAGAATACAAATTAAGTTTTATGTCCGGTGAAAAGTGAGTACAGTTAATTTATCATATTCAATTTTGAAGACTTTTTTTAGTTCTTTTATTTGAAATTTTACTGAAAATCATAATGTCTTATAGATTTAGTATTGTGAACAACTTCAAGAATTTTATAAGGATTTCCATTAGTTTTTATCCAGAAGATGTACTGCTGGCCGCCATCAGCGAACTTTGTATGGCTATCCGAGAATTTATACAGAAAACGAACGAAAAAGAATCATTCTGGAAAAAATACATGGAATAATATAAAGAGAAAATTTTGTTTTTGTTGCATTGTATAGTAATTGAAAATATTGTGATAGAACATCAAAAACAAATTATCATCTTTCACAAACAAAATGTAACATTCTGATGTGTAGTGATACATTTTTTGTTTAAAAATATTCCCATCTAAAAATGCATTATCTCAAAAAAATTATCAAATAATTTTATGCTGCAAAGTTTTCAAATTATCCAAATCTTCCGAATTACAGATTTGTCTGCATTACCAAACTAGTGTCGTAAACTCTGACAAAGAAGCAATTCTTAATTTTTAAAAAAGTAGAATGCATTAAATGCTGTAATTTGTATTCTTTGTTTAAATTGTTATTGAGGGTTAAGGTTAACTAGCAATTATTACTTAATTTGGGATGATCATTTATTTTTTAATGTGGCTATCAGTTTTATTACAATTTACTATAATTCTCTTTTAAAACATTTCAAAAATTTAAATATGTTTGATGTTTACTTAGCTAATTGAGAATTGAACAAGTTAGCACAGTAGTATGCCAAGAAAGCAGTTTTCCAAAATATCGCAAGACAATCGAAAAACGTAGAGAAATGTAAATTTACATCTTTACTCTTTCAAAAATTCAACAGTATTGTAAGTAAAAATGTTTGTTAAAAAAGAACCTATATTATATATATATATATATATAAAATGTTTGAAAATTTCAAAATTAGTATTTATAAAATAGTTATTTTGTTAATTATTTTTATTTTCAAATTTTTAGTTTGACTTTTTTTTTTTTACTTTACAAAAGAAATCATTTATCGAAATTTATTATTTCAAATAAGACTATTTTGCCTTACGACTAGGTGCCTAACTCCGATTGTTAAGAAATACATTTGAGAAATCAAATTTCAGTTTTACTTAATACAAAAATATCCTTCGATTCTTGAATACCGAACCGCAAAGGTCTCGAAAATGATTCAATTTAATAAAATTGAAAATTGATTTTTCAAACTAATTTGTTAAAAAGTTTTGAATATAAAACCTAATTATAAATTGTGCATAATTTTTGCATAAGCATTTGTAATTTTCGACTTGTTTCGGAATTAAAAGAAATTAATACCGCACCGAGTTCGCAAATATAAATGTCATAATCTCCTTTTTTAAAATTTGAATTTTCAATTTTTGTAAAATTTTTAAGAACTGCTTCCCAAAGCTACTGGCAACCGGATACATTTATAATGTTTGTTGCTAATTCTCCCAATGATAATATGCACATCAAAATCTGGTCGGTAGTTTTATAACTAAGGCATCGTGTTGACGCTAACTATAAATATTAAAGGGACGATGTGTATTTCGAGTTAAACTTGATTGGTATTGTCATGATTTTATATCCACGGTTCCTTCTGTTCGGTGAAGCTACACAGCATGAAGAGGACAAGAAGTGTTTTGTATTTTATTATTTGAGACAATTTATTGACTAGCAATATAAAAAAAATTGCATAATTTATTAATAACTTTTTTGTTCGAAACTTTTAAAGTAAAGCATAATAGTAAATCAAAATATTTTCCATTGATCTGCTCAAAAAATAATTTGTTCATCTGACACTAATCAAAATTAGGAGTTAGTAAATTTCATTTAAAAAAAAAAAAATATTAAAAAATTAGTAAGTGATTGTTCTAAAAGCAAAGCTTTTGCTCTAAAACGAGAATCGTTGATAATATGACTGTAAATAGACACGAAAAATTTACTTTGCATGTAAGATATTTTCTAACAGTGTTTTGAATACTCCAATGACAAATGGGATCATTCATGATTTGTAATCACAAATATTCTGCATGGTAGTAAACAGTATGCATTAACTGTCTTTTCAGTTTTGGATGCAAGTTTTAAAAAGAAAGTATTAATAAAAATATGCTTTGATTGTTGTAGTTTTCTCACTAGTATTCTAATAAATCAGGGATTTTTTAAAAAATTTTTTCCAGTTCCTTTTAGGTGCGTTATGTACTATAATGCGACGATTCTCGTCCAGCGAATCGCCATTCGAGTCACTATATATATAGCACACTTCCGCCCGGGTACGAGAATCGTCTTATGGACAAACTGTAGTTAATTGCAAAGATAAATACTAGTTAAGGACCATAATTTAGAAATTACTATTTAGAAATTTATTTTTTAAGTTGATTGCTTTTATCTAGTCATGGAATGATTGATCTCGTGAATGTGAAAAATAATTTTGTTTTGATTGTAATATTTTAGAAAAATATATGTAATGCACATGATGTATTATTGTTTTTTCCCATCTGATTATATGGAATAAAATTTTGAAATTTTTCTTGAATTTTTTGAAAGTTGGATAATTTTTAATAATTACCGTATTTACTCGAGTATAAGACAATCTCGCATATATGACGAGGTGTGACTTTAAAGATAAATCTAATTTTCTTTATTTTGATTAATACAATTCTAATTTTATTTCATTTAATCACAAATAAAATATCAAATACAAGTAAATGCACACATTGTCCCACAAAAATTGCTGGCATTTTAAACTTTAAGGAAAAATCTTGTAAAAATCGACAACATAATTTGTTCAGGTATTTTTGAAAATATTGTTATATATGTACTTGCAAATATATACTATAATTTGTTCATTTAAAGCTGGACAAGCGGGAACCTTTTCTGCCAATTCTTAACAGTCGAATCCATTCTCTGTCTTTTATACTTACGAATTTTCATTTCCAAATAATCATCTGTTTTCAAGAGAGAATGGATTAAAACTTATGTCGGACTCCCATGTAATTTTGGAATTTCAATTTGGTATTCAATTCAAAAGCTTTGTTTTTCCTATTGTTATTCATCTTTACTCCTGATAATACACAAGTATGATTCAAATGACCCAGATAAAATACTTTTTTTTTAAACACAAGAGTGTGAGTATCCAATAAAAAATGCAAATGGACTGTTCACAAAAATTATTGCAAAAACGCAGAGAGTCCTTTGCTTGCATATATAGGAAGACCTAAGTTTTTAAAGCAGTGAAAAATGAATAAAAACCTCGTCTTATTTACGAGTAAATGCGGTAAGTATATTATACAATACAAAACAAAATACATAGTGAAAACTCAACTCAAGTACCCAAACTTGATGGGACTGGCATCTTTCAGATAAGTTTCTGCATTATTCAAAATTTTGTGTTTTGGGTACATCAAGCATTGTACAGTGCAGTACATAGTTTTTTATGAACTATAAAGACTATAATGCAATTAATAAGGGAAATTAATTACTCAAGATCTAACATAATGTTATGCATATGACATAAGTTTCATGGGATGACATAGTGATTTCCAGTTAAAGTACTTATTTGAGTTTTGGAGAGTGTGTAGTGGAATGATGATGCCACTCCAATCTCTCAAATGACTCTTTACATTAATTTAAGTCTGGAACAGTTAGCCATTGAATGTACACACTTGCATTCAGGCTGTTGGATAATCCAATATACATCCAAAAGGTACATAGATAAATAAACTCCCACTTCATTTAGTTACACAGCCTTCTCAATTATGCCCGTCAGAATGATCCAATGGAATTCCATAGGCCTCTTATGATATCTTAATTCAAGATCCTGACCAACAGTTAAAGTTTGTTATAATATGAAATGAGTAATTAGTTAGAACTGGGCAATAAATAGTTTCCCATCTTGCCTTTGTGCCAGGGAGTGCTACCTGGTGTAGAATGTGTGTGAATAAAATGTGGTAGGAGACACCACACTGTCATTTTATGCTTTTGGCATAGAAAAACAGTAAGTATATTTCATTTCTTATAATATCCCCAGCTTCAATATCTTCTTTATTCACTATATCCATAGCACAGGTGAAAGCCTCATTACAGTTGTCAGGCTGACCATCTCCGCTGCAATCATTTCTTACTGATATGCATCAACAATTAGTCAACCCAAGTAGTTAATTGCCAAAATCTTTCACTTTGATAATTCATTTATTTTATCCATGTGTATTACCCTCTTGCTATGCTGTACCATCTTAATAACTTCAGCAGAGTCATGGATGGAGACTTCAACATCCCCACTTGATTTGGAGTAACTCATTCAGACTCACAAGGATGTTATATTGCTGATCTGACATCAACAAACTTTAATCCTTAATATTGGTCTCCCAACCCACTACACTGATCTTATGTTCACTTCATCTGATATGACTAAACCAAAATCAAAATATTGGGCCTTTCAGATCTCAATTCCAGATTAAAGCACGAACTCTAGAACATTTTATGCAAACTCCAATCCAAAGGCTATTCCCAACATTACAACCTTATCCTGTACAACAAGCTAACCATTTCAGCAAAAAATTTTGCACACAAGTTCTCCATAGACTCTACTTTTCCTTCCCCAATATCCACAAAACCATCAACACATTAGGCTCTGACACCATTTCTACAATATCTAAATATAACTATTGCTCTCATGTTGCACTCCTTGATCTTAATTTTTTAAAACATTGACCAAAATAGCAACCAAAAAATAACATTTTTCAATTCAATTTCTTTCTTTTTTTTACCTTGGAGGCCCCCGAATAAAAATCCATCTCATTCTCCAGGTGAAAAAGCCTTTGCAGCAAGGATCACTTCATCCAGATCATCTCTTTCAATATCTGCAAAGTATTGCTTTCTTCTCCTCAAAGCTATTTAATTCAAAGGAGTGATATTCTCTGGAGATTGTCTTACAAGATTTTCTGTAGAATGGATGCATGCTGGTTTGCTGGAGACAAGTCACTTCAGACTTACTTACTGTTGGCAGTGTGATATCCCTCTTCCTGTTTGCCATCTTTAAGTACAATACAACTGGTATAGTAATTCTCATCTGATGACATTGATTTTCTGCAACAAAAATATGGTAGCAACCATTACCATATCTTTTTTTTTTTTTGCAACTAAACCCAACTCCACAACACAAAGTTGAATCGGTAAGATTCTTCCGATTCCGATCTCGAATTTGAGTATTGGTAAAATGTGAAGTGTGAAAAATACTTTAGATTATAATTAAAAGGAAATTTCTTATAAGATGGACACTTCGATACACTTAGAAATCAAAAAGATATTCGTCTACAAAGGCCATTTCACACTGAAATTTTATACATATCTCATGCAACATGCTCTATACTTTCAGAAAACAGCTTTTATTAATTTAAATGAACCACATCAATTGTCAACAGTTAATTTCAAAAGTAGATTTAATCAAAGTGGATATTCTTTTGGCCAAATAAGATGTAGTATGTTTATGTACTCAAAAGTTTGTTCCAGATGAATTCGTTATATCCATTATCATCATAAATTTTAGTACAACTTTTTAGAGAAATTTTAGATAAAGACACCACTTGTATCCAAATATTTTTTTTATAAAGGGAATGTAGTGTGACATTTTAAATAAACCAGCAACGAGTTGATCAACTTTCCCGGCAACGTTTGAAATTTTGGTGGTGCCATCTGTTATAAAAAGTTTTTAAATAAAATATATTTTTAACTGTTATAAAATGGCAAAAAACTTAATTTTGAAGGTAGGGATGAGTTTTATAAAAAAAAATAATGTTGTAAATGCTAATAATGAGTAAAATCGTCATTAAGTCCAACCCTACTGGAGATACACACAACTCTCTTTATCTCCGCAGCCTGTCGACCTTTAACCACC